TTCCCCCCCGCCGGGGGGCGGCTCGCGCAGGCCAGCCCCGGGCCCCCACGCGGGCGTGCGCCCTCGGATAGGGCACAACTGCTGAGCAAAGCTGCTCTGGGCCTCCGGTCGGCGAAGTTTCCTCTGAGGGCTGGAACAGGAGGGAATTACTGTCGTACAGAAATCAGCAACTGATCTGGGTGGTGTCATTTAGGATTGAAAGTTCATTTGGAAGTCAACCTAAATCCCATCATTGGGAGGGAGAAATGACTGATTCCAGAGTGATTGCGAGCAAGCTATTAGCATCTCCTGCACGGACAGTGAATGGCCGTCACGCCATCTGCATGCGTTAAAGTGTTTCTCAAGCTTGGCAACTTTAAGCCGTGTGGACCTCAACTCCCAGAATTCCCCAGCCAGCATGCAACACTGCATTAGATGGATACCTGTATCTTGCAAAACAGAAGCGTGGTTTTGGAGTCGCGTTCCTTTCCTGTGATCAGCCTACATACTGTAATCCTACTCCTGTGTATTGGATGTGGGGACTCATCCAAGGGCATCATAATAGGTGTGAGTGGCCCAAGCAGGTATCAAATCTTCCATTGCAAATCAGTGGGTAAACTATCATCAGTAAGAAGGACTAAAACATGACTCTAATCTTTGAATCTCTTAGACTGGGTGGGAATCATCTGGGCCAGCACAAAACACCCTAAATTCTCCTCTTTGTTAAGTGTGCATCAGGTAAGGAGGCATTTAGGGCACTGCATGCCTTTTGCCCATTGATTTCCTTTCCCTGGCTTAATACAGGGACCTAGAGAAATCTGTTTACACCCCTGGCATGATGGTGCACTACTGTATTCTGATAGTCTGCTGTAGTAAAATGACGTATTTATAAATCCGATGATGAATAGAAACTGTAGCTCTATAGATAACAGATTGCTCTCCCTTTTATATTTTTGTTCTAGTATGAGCAATTCATATATCCAGCAGGTGCTATATTAGAAGAATGAACTAACCTGCCTTCCACCTATGTTTTTGTAAGGGTTTATTTTAATTGCTGTTATTGTTTTTAATTCTGTAACTAATTAAACATCTTTTAAATTATCATAAGGGTTGATTTTATTGGATCAGTAGCCTAATTTGTAATAAATGCATCAAGATATAGCAGAACCCTTTCATAGGCCTCTTCTGTTGATATATAAGCAAGCGACTTCTGTGTGGCATGAAGCTGCAGGCATGAAGAACTGATAACTCTCTAGAAATTATATTGTATCTTGCATCAGCTCCAGATAGCATAGCCAACATCAACAATGTCCAATAGCCTTCCTTCACCAGCCAAAGCATTTTCTCATTTATTTTCTGTTTTGGCTGTTTAAAAAGCATCCTTTTGATTTCAGGGTTACCTAGGCAGGTAACCTCCTGGCTGGATCAAGAAATCCCAGCCAGCCAAGAATATGATAATGGCACAATTGGCAAATGCTTCCTTCTTGTTCTTGTTCTGAAACAGCTACGTTGCCAGCAGTTGCTTTCTGACCCCAATTCAAGGTGTTCCCTTTGCAGTATGAAGCCTGATACAGCTTATACCCCAGTGGCATGCAGGACCACCTATTCCTGTCCTTTCACTCCACACTAACAATTCCACGAGGCACCTCTTGTGGGTTCCACCACAGATACTTCTGACATCAATAGCAGAGTCTGCTCTTCCAGTGGTGGGTCCCATTTGGTGGAACAAACTGCTAGAGGAGTTGAGTCGGCTCCCAAACTTTTAATAGTGCTTACTCAGGGGTCGAAACCTATCTTTTACCTGGGGCTTTTCATCTTTTAGAGGTTTGTAACATCTTGTTTTAATGTTAGTGTTAGAACGTTTTAATGGTTTTAGAATTTTATATATGTTAGGCATGTGCTTTCAAAAGCCCCTCTGGGCAGGTGGAGGGGGTAGCATGTACATCTATTTGTCAATAAATATGTGGAATATAACTATCACTGTAGTCTCTTTGACCTTGGAATAACGTCAGGGGAAAAAAGGCAGCGCCAAGTCAAAAAACCGGTCAGGACTACAACAAATCAGGGCTAACATAAGAGGTGTGATGTACGAAGGGGAGAAAGGATAGTTTTGGAAACAAAGTGGTGGGGAAAAGGGTGTTACTGGTGGTTAGTGACTTCTTGGGCACAAGGTCTTTCTGGCTCTGGGTCTGAGGGGAAAGAATAATTCTGTAAGTAGATTCAGCACCCGGCTTGGCAAGTTAAGCAGAGTTGGGCATGATTAGTGCCTAGGCTTGCAGGACTGCAGGGCAGACTGGAAAGTTGGAAAACATCCTTGGGGATGGTCATGGCAGACCATCTCCATACTTTCCCCTACAGGATTGCATGGATGCCTAGACATCTGTACAAAACCACGATGATGTCAAATGCATCATGGCGTCATTGTGCAAATGATGTAATTTATGTCATTGGCATCATTATGTCATGACACACGTGACATCACTTGCCCTTCCTCTCGGACACCATGCGTGGATGTGACCCTCAGATTGTCAAGCGTCAAGTTTGACTCAGAAATGTCTTTACTTAGTTACTGGAGTGCAAATAGCTTGCATGTACGTTCTATCTGTATTTTTCTGAATAAAGCATATATTGTAACAAATATATCTCCAGCAGAAATAAATTCATGTCTAGGCACTGTTTTGCTTCACAGGCAATTCTCAGATATTTCAAGCCTTGAAACATCTAGCTGCAAATGAGTTTCCACAATATGTTTAAGAGCAATCCGTAAATCCCACAATGTCTGCTCAGATCCCCATCTGTGAGGCTGAGAAGTCCCTTGCTTCTCATATTATGGGCTGTTTGTAAAACTCCTAAGGTTGGATTATACCTCTATGAATCTTCACAACGTTAAAACTCAGAGTTTAGAACATTTCAGAAAGAATATTTTGAGTATCAAATCTGAAAATAAAATTTGGAAGGAAATGGTAAGCAATTTTATCAATTACAAAGAATGTTACATTATCACAATGCATTGATTCATGTTTGCATCTATCCTTAGTTGTGGAAGCTCACTGGGTGACTTGGCCAAGTTGCTTTCTTGCAACCCAACCTATTTCACAGTGTTGCTGTTGTTAAAGGTGGAGGAGGAAAAACCATCTTCACTTCCTTGAGCTTCTGCACAGAAATTTACATGCATTATGTTTTGAATTATATTAAATAATTTAAATATGCTACATTGTGATGCCTAAGAAAATAACTCTGGGACAGAAGTTTCAGCTTCCAAGACTGAGAGATCATGACAAACAGAATAGTACTGTAGATATTTCCTTCTGTTAATATACTACAGCCCTTTATTAAGGAATGTTTTCAGCTAGGGTCACAGGATCTGCCAAAAAGAGGTTTGACATGGCTACGAAAAGGTTCTTGGGGAGATAGCAGAAGTTAATCATCTATTTCCTCCATGGCAGAAAATGTAACCTGCTGTTTTGAGTATTCTTTGCTGTAGTGGGGACTTTTTAATCAAAGGGTACCTTTTTTTTCAGCTGAGGACCATACTTAGCTTTTCAGTAGCATACCAGGAACAGTGTTCAAAAAGCATGTAGGGAAGGGCTCTGGAAGGGCACTGGTTGGGGCAAGACAAAAAGTTAGTTTGATTTCACTTCTTTTCAAATAAAATTAAGCTAAAATTAAGTTGGATTTAATTTTCATTAAGTAAGTACAGATTACTTTCATAGTGTTACTAAAGTTACTAATATAGCCAAGAGTCTCCTGTCACTTCAAATATTACAATTTGTCAGGACGTTTGGATGGTGGTGGGTGCAGCAACTCAGGCATTATTTATTCTTGCTGTATGAAATACGTTTTGCTTTAGGTGATGATCCATTTATTGTTTGGATCACTCCGAATGCAACTTCTGGCAGATTAAGACAAAGATGGGATAAAGTTTTCCCCAATTTGTTGACATGCAGTTCTGTTGGGATTTCAGCTCTCTAAATCTGGCATCTAACCATGGGCTGGGCTCATCAAAAGGCTTCCCCCAAATGGGGGGAAATTACAATAAAATGTAGGGAAAACTTTGATAATTCCAGAGTTAAAGTCTACTGGGTTTTCAACACATTTGTTTAACATTTATGTTGTTGGAGCCCAGCAGCCATAGAGACAACTCCAACTGAACTATGAATACTGTTACAAGCTGGTCTATCCATTGAATTAAGCCATGGTTTATCTGACCATTGATTATTGAATAACCATAATGGTCTAGCTTCATACAAGATGCTGAGCCAAAATAAAACCACCTTGCGGCATGATATATGATCCTGGTGTGGTCTTTGCCACATATTCATACTCAGTGAAGT